CACTGTCTTATTTGACACAGCAGCTTTGTATATCCATTTTATTTTCCAGCAGATCTATTTTTACTGCAATTGGAATCATCTCCCAGTCGTGCACATATGAGTTGTATCACTAGATCATTGAGCACAACAGCTTTGTATATGTATGTTATTTATCACTGTATCTAATTTTACCAAAGCTGGAATCACTAATGTGTGTAATAATTACATTACATTTATTTTCACTTCATGGATCCAATCATCTCCCTGTAGGGCTGGATATAAAACATGTCACATATTACAAATTCATGATGACTACACATCATTCGTCCTTGGTCCAATAAAATATAAAATAAAGCCTCAGACAGAATAACTCAAGTTGTCAGGACAACACGCAAAGGTCATGGAAAACAACAATCAAATTCACACCTTGCCATTCCACACACACTGGCAAGCCGTATCATTAAAACAGTTACATTATAAAATATTAAAATTCATAAAAAAACAGACGTCATACATGCTACTACACTTACAACAACCAAGTCTCAACAATGTATAATTCACGCACACAGACCATTTATTAACTCTTAACTTTTGAGCCACTTACATGCTCGACAAATTCATCAATTGAGAAAAATGCATTACTTTGTAAATAATTTCATAAAACAAACCTAAATTGCTTTTTATAATTTTTTAAAACTGTGATATTTGGCATCAGAGTGTTAAATAGCTTGATGCCTGAATAATACTACACTCCTCTCTGATAGCATGATAAATGTGTTGAAGGTATGTGAAGGTGGTCATTCCTTCTGGTACCAATGACATATACAGAGTTATTGGGTTGAAACTTATCCAAGTTATTAACAACAAATGTCATCAGTGAAAGCAAATATACACATGTGATTGGTAGTATGTCAGGCTTTTTAAATAGATCTCTACATGTGTGAGTTGGGGACACTCCCATCATTATTCTTATTATTTTCTTTTGTATAACAAAGACCTTATGACTGTCTGATGTATTTCCCCAATATATTATTCCATATTTCACCAATGAATGATAATATGCATAATAATCAGCTTTAAGACTACTTAGATTTAATATATAGGATAATTTTCGCATTAGAAAACAAACTGTGCCCACTTGTGAAGCAAAAAATCGGTATGTCCCTTACAAGTCGGATGATTGTCCAGCTGCAAACCGAGAAATTTTAGCGTTTCTACTTCTTTCAGCTTTTTGTTAAAAAAACAATGTATATAGAGGGTAGCTCGTAGCTGCTGTTGGGGTGAATTTAATCAGTTTTATTTTATCCATGTTTAACACTAATTTATTATTTTTAAACCATGTAAATATGTGATTAAAAACAACATCCAATTTTATTTTTAAATTATAGTAGTCTTTAGCTGGGCAAAGAATACTTGTGTCCTCTGCAAACATAATAACTTCCAAAATATTACTTATTTCAAGGAGGAAATCGTTTATGTATATATTAAAGAGTAAGGGTCCCAACACCGATCCCTGAGGCACACCACATCCAACATTTCCCAGTTAGAATAATATTTATTTATATAGTTCTAATCCTTCCAGCCGCATTAGGCCCTGGGGTTTACTCAGCCTCTAACAGAAATGAATACCAGGAATTAATTAAATAATTTTCCTGGGGAGTAAAGCGCACCCGGCGCGTAAGGCTGACAACCTTACCGCCATCTTTGAGCCGATTGTCTAGATAGTGTGGGGCCCTCAACGTCTCACAACCCTATGGGCCTTCACGGCCTGGTACAGGGATAGCTTTACTTTTTAGTTTTTTATAATTTAATTCCACTCTTGTCCTCCTATATTGGAGGTAAGATTTAAAGCATTGCAGTAACACACCCTGCATGATCATTTGAGAGCCCTCACAACCTCAGGAAAATACATTATTTATGAAGATATTTAGGGATTCTGTGGTGTGGTATTTGTGGGAAACAAATAGTTGAGGCATTTGGCTTCAGAACATTTTTAGATCGTAAGTATACTATGTATAATGCAACAATAACCTTATATAAGAGACGCTAAAAATATATTTAATATACTAAAAGTGCTTGTTAAATACTTTGAATTGTCATTAAACTTATACATTCATTCCTTGTTGCAGTGTGTTTTGGACACACATGAACCATCATGAGGCAACATTTTTTGTTACTGGGGAGACCACTGCACTGTATACATCTTCTGTGCCCTTAGACATATCGTTGTTTTTGTTATTAGTTTCTTTCATAGTATACTTCCAATATTATCTTTTCTGGCAGCTATTTCACCGAAATGTGTAATGTATAGTAGTATAATTTTATCTCTCTGCTATCTTTATATATTCAAATGTTAAATTTTCTTGTACTTAATGTGTTTTTATGTCATTTGCTTTGTTATGTAAGCTTGTAGTGCTCATCTTCCCTTGTACTGACCATAGTGCAATGGAAGTATGCTGCAAAAGAAACTAATAACAAAAACTTTATGCCTAAGGGTACATTGCCTGTGGCACTCTAGAGTCAACTCCATTATCACCTCCTTCAAAACAGAGAGGATCTGCCTGGGTGCCATTTGCAGAATGTATGGCCGACCTGGCTCCAACTTTGCCACTTGTGTGGTTATGTCAGGCTTGGTGATCATCAGGGATGCCCTGGTGTCAATGGTCATGTGGCGTTTGCTTCTTTTACATCCAGACTTGTTCTTCATGTTGTCCCTTACTCACTTCTCGAATCCCAGTCGGCTTCCTCTCAGGCCGCTCAGCACAACTGTTGACAGTCTCTTCTTAGGTGCTCCATGTCTCCACAGTGCCTGCATACAGCATACAGGTGTTCCTGTATACAGTATATGGGTCCTCCAATCCTGTGGCACTTAGTTGCTTGTGACCGTGTCCTCATGGGGGTTCCAGCCTTTACCTCCCCCAGCTTCTCTGTTAGTCTGGCTATCACCTTCACAATCTCTAGCTTCAAGGCCTGGTTAAGATCTTCATTTAGAGACCTCTCACAGCCCATGAGGGAGTGCTGTTTCACGTCTCAGTCCCTCACTCAATCAATGAACACATAGGCTTCCTCCCTTGGATGAGTCCTCAGACAACCCTACAAGGACTCCATGGTCCAAATGCTTGACAATAGCCCACCACCAGCTGTAGTCTGTAACTGCCCTTCAATGACCCAACAATATCCTCATATGTCGCTCTGGCTGGACACTTAAAATGTTGGCAGCTTGCAACTGCAGAATGGCGAGTAGATGCATGGTCTTCTTCCATGATTCCTAACTGTTGTGATCAGCCATGGCCTAACACTGTCAGTGGAATACTATTTAAGACCTGGACTTGTCAAACTATGGCAGCTTTACCATGATGTCACTGGCTCCTGCATTCTCACTGCTTCCATGTTTAGTCTGGGCATCTACTGACACTGACTGTTTCTTGAACTTCTGATCTGTGGCTTCTAGATTGCATTACATTATGTCACCTACCACGTAACAACAAAGCAAATACTTATGAATATATCCAGAATAACCTCCCTTAAAGTGTTAAATATTTTGACACAACATATATTGCATTTGAAGGTCACAACAGGTTCTTATCTGTCATGCCTTTTGATACAACACGTTCGAATACTGGGCTACTTCTCGCACTGCTCCGGTTTTAGTGTCTGTCAATGTTGGCCAAATACATGGGTACTCGAAAAATTAAACTGAAAAAATTGCTCTACAAACACATGCAACAAACCATTTTAATATTATACTTCATTATAATATTTTTACTTCATAATATAACCAACTACGACTAAAAGCTGTGAACATTTAATATTTTCATGTGTATGGGTGTATGCATGACAAAATAACAGGTTGTAGTTCGGATGATTGGATTTATTGGCACTTCGGTTCAAACCTCTCTTAATTACAGTCAATACAACTCTATCACCAATTTGCACAATCTACAGCTCACTGTTACACATGCACTAGCATTCTCAGCCTGTACTAGTTGTCTCCCTGTGACAGATCTCAACTAACACTTGTTCACTAGTTCTCTCCCTGCAACAGATCTGAACACAGAAACTATAACAGTCTCACTTGATCACACCCTCCAAATATTACACATAAATAACATCTTCAAATCACACGCAAAGTCTTCACAGATCTTCCACGACCATCCTGTGGCTGTTTACAATCGAGAACATAACCGAACTTAAAAACTCTCACTCACTTACAATCTCAAGAAATTAAACAAGCTACAGGATAAAGAGCAGTATCATGTTGAAATCTCAAATACATAGCAGCTTTGGGGTACTTTGATGCTGAGGTCTATATTAATAGAGCTTGGGAAGCTGTTAGAGAGAATATCAAAATATCAGCCAAAGAGAGTCTAGATTGTTATGAACTGAAGAAGAATAAGCTATGTTCAAGGAAGGATACACAAAATTATTAGATCAAAGGAAAGAAACCAAATTCCAATGGTTACAGGATCAAAATGAAATAAATTTAATCTGAACAATATAAGACATGAGGCCAGCAGGCATTTCAGTAATAAAAAGTGGAAATATCTGAAAGACAAAAGTAATGAGCTTGCAATGAACAGTAAGAACAAGAACACTAGAGACCTGTATCAAGGAATAACTTGACTTTAAGAGGGGTTATCAGCTTAGAAGTAACTTAGTGAAGGATGAGAGTGGTGATCTGCTTGCAGATTCCCGCAACATTTTGAATAGGAGGAACTACTACTCTCAGTTATTGAATGTACATATGGTCAATGATGTTAGGCAGATAGAAATGCATGCAACTGAGCTTTTAGTACCTTCTGCTTGAATAAGTTCCGCCAGAATTTTATCACCACCTGGCGATTTATACCTTTTCAAATTTGCAATTGCACTTCAAAACTGAAAAGGACATTGCAAATTTGAAAAGGTATAAATCACCGTAATTTGGCCATCTGTTTGTAGATGGCGTTTGATGCGACTAGGCAGAAACTGTTTAAAACAAGCAAACAAGCTTCATGCGTGCTGCCGTGCTACTTTGGTGTCGTTTGGTGGCGACCCGTATGTGGTTGGCCGTCGGTCGTTGAATACGTTAGGCACGGGAAGCGGCATAGAGAGGATAGAGAGCATAGAGAGAGAGCGAATGGTGTGTTTGTGTATGTGTAGTCGGTGTAGTAGCTGCGGTAAAGTACGTGTGTGTAAACTGTTCTGAAAAGCTGTGTGTAATTAATTTATTCGCGTTCCGTTTGTCTGATGCAGTATTGTAGATAGACTTTTCATAGTTTCTTTTTCCTTGTTTGAAATTCGAATGTGAGAATATGACTGCGTCTGATTGAAATTGGTATATACTATATGGCTTGACAAGTGGATTCTATTGGATTTATGTAATGCTCAGCAACTAAGGTTTGTGTGGTGCCATACCTAATAATCTAAGTCCACAGTTTACACATTCAGTTTGAGTTGGAAGACTGCTGTGTGACATTAGAACAAAAGGAATACACATGTGAGGCAGGAGCGGCCGAGTCTGTTGCCTAGATTACAGGTAACGAATTGATCAGTGTAACGTAAATATGTTCACTTTTTCTTGTCCATTGTAGTATACGTTTTAAGAAATTATGTGCTCGTATCAAGTGTATGAGTGTTTGATAAGTCTCTAGTTTCCAACAAATTCCGCAGTCTGAAATTTCGTATATATATATGGTACCAATATGTGTGTGTGTGTGTGTGTGTGCGTGCCTGTATATATAGTATATACTGCTCTAATCAACGCAGATCCTGTTATCAAAAATACAACTGTTGTTTACATTGCGGAGGCTCACCCTTTCCATATGCAGGCCCGTTGTCTTGTTTTTTCTGCAATCTGTAATGTGTAAGAACCCACATGTAAACAACCGAAGAGGGGTGTTGCTTAGACAAGTGGACGACGCCCCTTATGAGGTGGAATTAGGAGTTTTATATAGTTAAAAATTTTAACGACTTTTAATTGATTTTAAATGGAGTAAACTGTACATGTAAGATTTAACGCACAACAGTTGAGTGCAATTATAATATTTTAATTACGAAATGTTCAGTTACGCACGTGTGTAATGGACAATACTCAGTGTAGTGTACCAGGTGTGGCATAATGGGACACCTGAGGATGAGCGCTTGGGGCCGAAACAAGTTATGTTAATAGCTAAAGCAAATGTGAATGAAGAAATAAATAGTCGCATTGTTGACGGAAAATTGTATGTAAACAAGGCTGAATACAGTAATGCAACAGGATGCTTGAATACAAGATTATGCAGCGTCCATTGAAACATGAAGATGGTTCATCAATGGTTTGTACGTTAAGGTTTTGGAAACAGTCGATCGTGGCGTCTCTGATTCTACTATTCAGGCATTCACCTGGGTGGAAGTGTGAAATAAAACATGCTGTAAGAAAACCCCAATTGAAGAGAGCACTTTGGAGACGCAGACATAGATCGGATGGGGTAACATTAAATAGATATTAGTGAAATAGGGTGTGAAGATTCCCAGTAGCGCATTTTTGTGAACACCGTCTAGAACTACCGCGTTCCATAAAGGCAGCGAATTTCTTAATCATCGTCTTCTCAAAGACCCCATGAGTTATATCCTCTTTCGACCTACCAGAGTTTTACCTCCATGTCCTCTGTACTTCACGTACCCTTCAAGTTGCAGTACCTAGGTTGCGACAGCTTTCTCTTGTACCTTTGCTATGAAAATAATAAAAACATCTATAGCCAGCAGTCTGCACTCTCATTTAAAGTCGTGAAATCGCTAGGGCCTTACCAGTAGGGTTGAAGAAATTTGTTCTCTACAAATTAGGAACACATTTTTACCGCAGCCCATGTAACGTACTAGTAAGCAGGGGTTGTTTCCACAGTAGAGTTGGTGGGGTATGCCCTGTTTCTGGTTGCTGATTCAGGCTGTCACGGTGGCTGACTGCCGATGTCAACTGTTCGTGGTGTTGTCTGCATCCAGTGTCTTGTAACAGTGAATCTCTTATGTAGGTCTGTAGTGCAGTATCTCACCATACTCTAAATCATGTTCTCGTCTCTTTACCGCAATGATCTTGATTAATTGTGTTGTTATTTGATTAACGCGATTATTAGACGTTTATTTACATTTGTTATTTATCTGTTTATAAATCGTATCATTAGTTGCACCATCTGCCCATTGCATAAGTCATGGTTGTGTCTTATATTATGTTGTATGTATTTGTCTAGTACTGACAACGCGGTGTTTAAGTAAAAAAAAAATTAAAGATGTTCAGACGCCAGCCTGGCTGTATGTGTTACAGATTTTGCATTCATTTTTCTTTGAGAAGGAAAGTTTGAAGAGACGCCGCACAGGTGCAGTGGTTTCCAACTGTTATAGATGCTTTAAAGTGCATATCAACCAGAAACATATTTAAGAAATTATGACATATTAGATTAGTTTAAATATTCCGGTCACTGGAGGGTGGTGCTATATAATTTCTGTGACATTATTAAAATGGATCTTAGACAAATGGATAGGGCAGTATGGACTGGATTCATCTTGCCCAACGTAGGGACCAGTGAAGGGCTTTTTTGGTCACGGTAATGAACTTTCGGGTTCCGTAAAATGTTGGGAAGTTGTTGGGTAGCTGTTCAACTGGCGGCTTCTCAACCATGGACTTAGTTAGTTAATGAGTCCTATGAACAGGATTAATGGAGTGCGCAAATATAGACGATATACTTACTGTATGTAAGGAAAATGGTGCCCATTCATCTTCGAAACTGCTTGACAGATGTCTGTGAATTTGTAATTGAGGGGATGTACATGAAAAGTTGTTCGGCAAATGTAATTCTGGTTTATATTGGTTCAGTTCTTTTGAACTCCTACCCAGGGCTGTAGTCAAGCGAGGGCAGCGCACTATTGTTTTCTGAGCACCGGAGCACCTCCCCAGGCACTTATTTTAAAGATGCTGGTGGGAAGCACAACATTCTTACAGCATGTTTAATCTCCGACTTCTTAGATGGAAGCGTCAGCTTATTAAATACGTGTATATGGTTTGTTCGCTCAAATCTGCGTTTGAAACTGCCAAGCCGTCGTTAAGAAACTCTAACGGCGCGAGTGCGGTTGCTTTCAACTTGGAACAGCACGCAGACCACCCTGGCACTTTTATTTAGGACTACAGTTCTGCTCGTACTTCGCATGGCGTCCAAACGAATTTATACATTTTCTAAAATGGCTAATCATACAGAGGACTTTGGAGATGGCTTGAAATTTGCATCTCAGTAACATAGAGTTTTTGTTTAAATATTTTGCAATGCGGTTAATAATTAATGAAATAAAACGAAAAATAATTGCAGACGCTATGTAGTACCTGTAGTTGTGTTCTGAGGCTTCAGAGTTACTGTTTGCTTGCTTATTTTATTACTGGCCGTACGCTCCTGTAAGAACAGTGACCAGCTGTACGACAGATACCTGTTGTTCTCAGTTCTTTGCCGTTTGCTTCCATCTTTTTTTTTATTATTTTATTTTTAGTTCTCGCAAATCATTCTTTTGTTAATAGTGTCCGAAGTTACCCTTCCGGCATCCATCGTCGAGTTTCTTAATACACACTGTTTTGCAAGGTGTGTTTGTCTTACGCGAGACCTCAGACGCGGGAATCAACGCACAATTTCTCGTGACTGCCGCCCTTCGTCCTATCCAGCATGGGTGATTCTGCCAGCTTATATCCCTGCTAACATAACTCTCCAAGTGATAAAGGCACGCACTCCTTCCCGCCATTCATCGTATGAGGAAAAAATAGTAAAGTCTTCCCTGTGCCTACCTAATTAAGCACTGCGCCATGGAGACGTATGAGGGAGTGGTTGTATACATCCGCGTCTTCTTGACGTTGGATATTGGATGACCTCCACTGGTTAGAGGTGAGTGGTCAGCTTCACGGCCCGGCCGCCTTAACCCCGAGGAAAGAGCCCACTGGGTAGGAGGTTGGGTGGACCTCAGAGCCGGCCTGGACGCTGTGGAGAAGAGAAAATTCTAGGCCGTACAGAGACTCGAACTCCGACCTCTCGGTCGTCCAGCTCGTAGCCAGTCGCTATACCGACTGCGCTAACCTGGCTCCCACCACATGAGGGTAGGAACAGTATATTCATATCTGCGTTAAATTCACATCGAAACGAATGAAGTTTGCAGACTCAACAAAAATCTCATTTGTCAGATTATGACGGATAAAGTAGGTTTATCTTATAATCCCGTCCATGAGAACTAGGCACGTCATATTTAATTAATTACGAGGCAGGATAAAAGAGTCGTCTTTCGTTCTGTGCGGTTCGTAGGCCAAACAGATGCCAGCAACTGGTGATTCTGACGCATGCAAAACTGATATCGGCGCCAAACTGCGAAGTGCATGCGGCTCGTTGGCATATTGAAACGTAAACAGTGGTGCTCCTTGATTCTGAAAGACGGAGCACCACAATTATCGAGCAGTTGGTAATGATAATGTAAATAGTGACACCGCAGCATTGTTAGCACCACAGTTTGCACACGTGACGCATTTCCTGGCGCTTCCCTTTGCGATTGTCATTAAACAGTGAGTTCGTAATACGCCGAGTTTCTGGAACCCCCCCCCCCAGAATTTATGTTTACAGGTCATTAGAATTACAAACCAGATGTCTGATATTACGAAATTCAAAAAGTATTACCATCTAGCTATTTCTCAAAACCGTGAAAATTAAGATAACAGTCATCATACCAGTTGTTTCGTGTAACTGACTGACTAGTTTCGCATGCAAGTTCATCCTTGAAAATTTTGTAGTTACGGAGCTGATCTTTACTTTCTTCTATGCTTGAGATAAGTTGGAAAGGAGAAGATGAGCATGAATTACATGCAGTCTGTAGTAGAAATCTACGAGTCAGCACCGATAATACAGAAGACCGACATTGGACACTACCCTAAGAAAATTTCCTCAAATAAGAATTGCACATAGTAATGAGATCTATTCTTTATGTTATATTTAATATTATTCTTTTAGCTATTTTTTGTACAAGCCGGTTTTGAGAACATTAAACTTCGATTTAAATTTCAAGTAAATCAGAAATGATCACAACTTTCGTTGTGTATTCATACAAATCAAGAATAATATTGTATATTCAGAGGTCAGTCCAGATGCAGGAAAACCTTTTTTTCCAACGCATATTTGCTTATATACACAAAAACATACATACAAGTTGAACGCGGGAAATGTGAATATACGCCCTGGTACACCCAGCACGCACTTCAGCTTTCCCTTCTAATCTCCCCAGCACTAATCCGGCCGGTTCTCACGGTCTCTTCGCTTGCGGATTTCTTATATTTATTTCCTTCTACCCTGAAGATGGAGGCGATACGTTCCTCCGAAACGTCGGTTAACACCGCAGATACACGGTGCCAAATCCCAGAAGACTGCTTTCTTCATAGTCACCGCCGTGAAAGCCTCAAATCTTACATAGTTAAACCCTCTGCTTGCGTACATCAGTATCACTCACAATTTATAGGTATATAATTTACAATAAAACATAACATTTAAG